TGTTTTGTTTTTGTTTTTTTTTTGATGCAGGTACTGGACTTGAACTCAGGGCTTCACACTTTTTTTGGTCAGTCATGAGGCTTGAACTCTGGGCCTGGGCGCTGTCCCTTAGCTCTTCAGCTCAAGGCAAATGCTCTACCACTTGAGCCACAGCACCACTTCTGGCTTTCTGGAGTTTTTTGAAGATCAGAGTCTCTAGGAGTTTCCTGCCCAGGCTGGCTTTGAACCTCAATCCTCAGATCTCAGCCTCCCGAGTAACTAGGATTACTGGTGTGAGCCACCAGCGCCCGGCAGGGCTTCACACTCTTGTTTGGCTATTTTGTTCAAGGCTGGTGCTCTCACCATTTAAATAACAGTTCCCACTTCCAGGTTTTTGCTGGTTAATTGGAGATAAGAATCTCATGGACTTTCCTGCCCAGGCTGGCTTTGAACTGTGATCCTCAGATCTCAAGCCTCCTGAGTAGCTAAGATGACAGGCGTGAGCCACCACACTAGGGGGAGTGAATTTAAGAACGCCCCTGGTGCTATCCCAATACCACCCTGAGGAGGGCGCTGAGGTCCATAGAGGAAGAAGCAAGCGATGGGTCAGAATCCCCCAGCTCATGCCAGTGAGCTGTGTCAGATCACTGCCAGAGAGGTCCGAGTGTCAGGCCTGGCTACTCACAGGACGGGGCCTCTCCTGGGGTGATTTTACCCTACCCTCTGCCTGTGCCCCAGGGCAGCTGGCCTTCCCTGAGCTCAAGGGCACGGCCCAGCTGGCTAGAGAGCCGAGGGGCCGCAGAAGTGGGCCAAGCAGGCGGGGCGGGGGTTAGCGCGGCCCTGGGCCTGGGGTGGCACCGGTGGCGTTTCCCCCCTGCTGTCACTTGTTTCCAGTGTCACAATGTCTCTGGAAGGCCCGGGGCAGGCCGGGTGAGGCAGGAAGCCATGCAAGTCCGGTCTAGTGGGAGCTGGCTCTGGGTGGCTTCTCCCTTAAACACACTTTTCATTGGAATGACACATTGCACCCAAGCGTCTCCCGAGGACGTGACTCCATCCGGGTCTGTAATTTTTTTTTTTTCTTTTAAATCCTGGAAGTGGGGTCAGAGAGAGGGGAAGGTGTTTTGTTTTGGCAACATCCTGATTTCCCCAGGGCTCCATGCCTGGCACCAGACACACACACACACACACACCACACACCACACACACACACACACACACACACACACACACGGGCGGGAAGTCCATAGCAGAGCCCTGGCCTCCAGTTGGCCAGCCTCCTATGGCGTCTTCTAAGAAGCTGCTGGAGCTGGGGGTGACCAGCCTCCATGAAAGACCCTAGCCCCCTAGGATACTTCCGTCAACGGGAGGGAGCCCCAAAAACTCAGACTCCAGGCCGGGAGATGCAACAAGCAAGAGGAGTTTATTCAGCGTTTGCGCAGCAAATGGTCTCTGCCTCGGCAAGGGAGAGAGCCCCGAGCAGCGGTTAGAGGCATTCTTAAAGGCAAAAACCACAAGATTAGCATATAACACCAGTGTCCCCTTAAAAGTCACTATGTACTCCAGCAATCATTTTTACTACGTGGGGAAGTTTATAACACTCTTTGTAAAAACGATTGGCGCGGGTGATTTAAAGGAGGTAGTCACTCTGGGAGGTAAGGGTTAGGGGAGTTCACATAGTTACAGGCTTGTGATTGATTAACATTTGGCCTAGTTTGCTGGACTTGCCAGGTGGTCCTTATCTTGGGTCCCATTCTTGGGTCCCATTCTTGGGTCCCATTTGGCCACTTGGGGAATCTACTTGTTTGTTCTTTATCTATGACCACAGACCTTGTCTCGGGGCGGCATCTGGACTCCGAGACTTTTTACTCAATTCCTTATTTCCAGAAGGGGGGGGGGGACTAGTGCTAGTGCAAGCAAGTTTACAAAAGCGAAATCAGCAGTTAGCAATTGTAAAATGTATCTCTAATTTTTAATCTTTCACTCCACACTCCAGACCCTACCCAGCTCCTCATTCCTTCTCAGCACCCCAGTGTCCCCAACTTCTTTCCCTTCCCTGCTCTGTAATTGGCCGTGCAGCCTCTTCTGTGGTTCTCTCAGCTTTATTGGGTGCGGGAACATGTATGTTAGTACCAAGGCTTGAGTCAGGGCCTCACCCTCAACTCACAGCTGGTGCTCTGCCATGTGAGCCACGCCTCCAGTCTGGCTTTTTGCTGGTTAGTTTGGAGATAGAGTCTTGCAGACCTTTCTGCAAAGGAGGTGGCAGGATACAGCTGTGAGCCTCCAGTGCCTGGCTGCTGATTCACATAGGGCTTGTGACAATAGATTTGCTTAGTTTTAGCTTTAGTTTTGCTAGTCATGGGACTTGACCTTCAGGCCTAGTGCTGCTCCTGAGCTTTCTTGCTCAAGGCTAGCAATCGACCGCTTTGAGCCTCCGTTCCACTTCTGGTTTTCTGGTGGTTGACTGGGGATAAGAGTCTCACAGACTTTCTGCCTAAGCTGGCTTTGAACCTTGATCCTCAGATCTCAGCCTCCTGAACAGGATTACAGATGTGAGCCAGCAGCACCTGGCTTTTTTTTTTTTATGTGGTTAGTTGGAGCCAAGTCTCCCATGGGCTTTTCTGCCCAGGCTGCCTTTGAACCGTGGTCTTCTTTTCCTTCAGTGACTCCAGAGGAGTCACCAACGGAACTAGCTATTTGAGGAATCACCTTGGATTCCCCTTTGCCTTCCTGGAGGTCTGTACCACAGGATCCACGCAGGCCTTGAACTGGAGAAGCCTCAGGCCTCCCTGTGGCCAGCTGAGGCCTCATGACTGGGCCATGGGGTCAAAGTTCAGGACCAAAGAGAAAGATCTATCATCTTGGTCTTAGAGAAACAAGAGTGGCCAGCTGCAGACCCCAAAAGAGACCTGGACCCCACTGTAGGGGGGAGGGGCGGGGATTGACTTCTGTCTCCTTCACCTGCACCACACGCCTGCACACTGGAGCACGTGGCTCACAATTCTGGTGTTTCTACCCCAGGACCTTTGCATGGGTGAGCTGCTCAGTGCAAAGCTCTTCCTTTATTTGTCTGGTTCCTCACCATTCAGTCTGGTACTAACGCCCCCTTCCCTGATTGCCAACGCCCCAATCACACTTCAGAGCCTCACAGAACTGGGGCTCAGGTGCTTTGAGCCCTACTCTGCTCTGCCCACTCTTTCACTCTTGTTGCATGCTGAGACCCTTGCTTAAGACTCATCTTGTCAGCTGGGCACCAGTGGCTCACACCTTTAATCCTACCTACACAGGAGACTGAGATCTGAGGACCATGGTTCAAATCAAAGCCAGCCCAGGCAGGAAAGTCCGTGAGACTCTTTATCTCCAGTGAACCACCAGAAAGCCAGGAGTGGGGGGCTGAGAAGGTGGCTCAGTGGTAGAGTTTTGCCTCCCATGCACAAGGCCCTGGGTTCAATTCCTCAGCACCACATAAGCAGAAAAAGCTGGAAATGGCACTGTGGTTCAAGTGGTAGAGCGCTAGCCTTGAGCTGAAGAGCTGAGGGACGGTGCCCAGCCCAGAGTTCAAGCCCCACCACCGACAAATAACTAACTAACTAACTAAATAAACTTACAGAAGAAAGCCAGGAGTGGAGCTGTGGCTCAAGTGGTAGAGCACTAGCCTTGACCCAAAAGGCCAAGGGGTAGTGTTCGGCCCTGAATTTAAGCCCCACGATTGTCATGTGCACACGTGCAGACACACACACACACACACACAGACACACACACACATACACCCCTTACCTGTGGCGGGCAGACAAAGTCCCTCAATGGCCATGCATTGCTAGTGAACTGTCTGCAGCCTGGCTGAGTGAGGCCTGTCCTTGGGGGAGGGCCGAGGCTCAGGCCGGGTTTGTTTATTTCACTATCGAAGGCGGCCATCCATCCGTGGCCGAGGCTCAGTGTCTGGTTTCGCAGAGCACAGACTGTCCCCAGGCTCATGGAAATTGTGGGGGAATTTCAACAACTAGTGGGGAGAGCTTGCTTTCTTGGTCATTTATTTACAACAAGCTTATACTCAGCTGCCCCCTCTCCCCCACACACACTTGGCATCTTTAAACAAAACAAGGAGCAGGAGGGAAAGGCTTGGCAGGCTGGGCCCTGGCCGGCCCCAGCAGGTGGAGGCTGGTTGATCAGCCCTCGTTGCTTAGACTTTGGGGCAGAGGGACAGGGAGGCTCAGCCTGCTGCGTCAGGTCAGATCTCTGCAACGCCACTCCTGAAGAACCCCCGCACACTGGAGTCATCCCAGCTGTCCTCTACCATGGTAAGAAAACCCAAGGCCAGCCAGGCACCGGTGGCTCATGCCTGTAATCCCAGCTACTCAGGAGGCTGAGATCTGAGAATTGCAATTTAGAGACAGCCTGGGGAAAGAAAGGAAAGTCTGTGAGACTCTTTTTATTTTTATTTATTAATTTAATAAATAAAGTGGCTCTACCACTTGAGCCATAGCGCCACTTCCTCACTTCCAGTTTTCTGGTGGTTCATTGGAGATAAGAGTCTCACAGAGTTTCCTGCCTGGGCTGGCTTTGAACTGAGATCCTCAGATCTCAGCCTCCTGAGTAGCTAGGATTACAGGGGTGAGCCACCAGCACCCAGCTCATGAGACTCCTATCTCCAATAAACCACTAGAAAACAGGAAGTGGTGCTGTGGCTCAAGTGGCAGAGCACTCGCCTTGAGCTGAAGAGCTGAGGGACGGCGCCCAGGCCCAGAGTTCAAGCCCTGTGACCCACCAAAAAAGAAAGAAAAGAATCCTGAGTTCAAGCCCCAGAACTGGCACAAATGCAAAGCCCGTTGCTGGTGCTCCATGATCACAGGTGCCTGCATGCAGAAGCAAGCGCTCACCGTTCTCTGCTCTCAAGCACCTCCTTCTCCTAGACCTGAATAAGTGGTCCCCTCCCCGTAGGTTGGGGTGTCCCAGGCCAGAGTGCTAGCCATCCTCACAGCATCAGAGAGCTGGTCCAACTGACCGCACCCCTCTTTGCCCCCTAGAGCTCACCGGAACGACATGGAGACTATCTACCCCTTCCTCTTCCTGGGCCTGGTCTACTGTTTCCTGGGGCCGTCCCCCCTGGCCGCCTGGCTGCACTTCCTAGGCTTCTTCATGGGCCGCGTGGTGCACACCATCGCCTACCTGGGCAAGCTGCGGGCACCCATCCGCTCTGTGGCCTACACGCTGGCCCAGCTGCCCTGCGTCTCCATGGCCCTGCAGATCCTCTGGGAGGCAGCCCGCCGCCTGTGACCCCAGCGGACGGGGCTGTCCCTGAGGGCCCAGAGTCGCTTCCAGACACCAAGGAGCTCTTGGGATGGCTCAGGCCTCGCCTGGTTTCCTGGCTGACCACTATGTGTGTGTCCATGTGTATGTGTGTGTCTGCACACACACAAGTGTTCAGGCAGCATGTATATGTATTTCTGAGCCCTTTGGAGACTGAAGTCAAGTGGCTGACTGGAAACTACTTAAGAGACCATTTCTCAAGATGAATAGAAAACCCTTCTACTGGACCAGCACTGGTGGCTCACGCCTGTAATCCCAGCCACTCAGGAGGCTGAAATTTGAGGAGCATCCCAGGCAGGAGGGTCCCAGAAACATTTCTAATTAACCAGCAAAAGGCTGGAAGTGGAACTATGGATCAAGTCATAGAGCACCAGCCTTGAGCAGAGTAAAGCAACTGAAGGACAGTGCTCAGGCCCTGAGTTTAAGCCCAGTACCGCACTCACAAAATAAACCCTTCAGCTCCAATAACTGCACCGAAGTCGTCATTTCCTGTCTGTCCTTCACAGAAAAGCAAGGGTGGGAAGACTCTGTTTAGGGTTCTCTAACTCAACTTTCATCTAATCCACACGTCTCAGGCCCACCAGAGATTCTGGCCCACCCTGTCCAGAGGCCATGTGGTTCTGGTTTTTATTTGGTTTGTTATTTTGAGGCAGGATTTAGCTGTGCAGCCCTGGCTGGCTTCAAACTCACCCCCCTGCCTCAGCCTCCCGAGAGCTGGGATTACAGGTATGCATCACCAAGCCCAGCCCCTGTGTTAGTCCCACCTCTGGAGATGGGACGGGGTCAGCAAGGGAGTTTGCGGGCTCTTTTATGGAGGAGGCTCCTGAGATGGGTGGACCTGTGGCTTGTGCTCCCCATGGGTCCTTCTGGTCCTTTGGTCCACAATCCTTCAGGTCCTCTTCTTGGGCTCCATGTGGGAGGGAAGGATTGACTATCAGCCAGGACCCAAGGGCTGTGAGGAACCAGCTACTAAAATAAGCAGCAGAGCCAGGCACCAGTAGCTCACACCTCTCATCCTAGCTACTCAGGAGGCTGAGATCTGAGGACCACAGTTCAAGGCCAGCTCCAGGCAGGAAAGTCCATGAGACTCTTATCTCCAATGAGACACAAGAAAACTGGAAGTGGGGCTGTGGCACAAATGGTAGAGCGCTCGCCTTGAGCTGAAGAGCTGAGGGACAGCGCCCAGGCCCAGAGTTCAAGCCTCATGACTGACAGAAAAAAAAAAAAAAAGAGCAGCAGAGGTAAGAAATGGCCATGTCTGTCCCGGTGGGGGAGGATGCGTGCTTGGGGGTGTCCTGAGGGGCCCCCCCATGCTGAATCATTAAATCACAGTATCTGATTACCTCTGCCTCCTGGGCCTTGCCTTCCTCCCTGTCCGCCGGGCCTTTGGGGGAGACTTGCTGATGCAGTTTTTAAGTTTGCACCACCACAGGCTGCAGCAGCACGCCGGCCTCCAGCAGGGGGCGTTCCGGACAGGCACTGCTGCTGGGCAGATCCACCCCGAATGCCCCGATCCTGCTCCATCCCCGCCAGGCTTCCCTCCTCACCGGGCCTCCAACACCCATGGCTGCTGTTAGCAGATTTTTGTCTGTGTGTGTGTGTGTGTTCTCCCCTGCCAGTCCTGGGACTTGAACTCAGGGCTTCCAGCTCTTGCTTGGCTTTTTTTTGCCCAAGGCTGACTTTCTACTACTTGGGCCACAGCTCTACAGCTAGCTTTTCACTGGTTAATTCAAGACAATAGTCTTTTCTACCCAAGCTGACTTCAAATCAGGGATCCTCAGAGCTTAGTCTCCTGAGTCGCTAGGATGGCGGGTGTGAGCCACGAGCGGCGGCCATGGCAGATTCATTTTTAGAGCCAGGGATGTAGCCCGGAGTCTGGGGCCAGAGGTCTAACTATGGGGCCGGGTGTGTGTCCACATGTCACCAGAAGAAGCAAAGTGAGCCTCTCCTCAGGCTCTCGGCACAGGCTTCAGGCAGATTGGAGGTGGGGAAAGGGAGATTTGCAAAGTGTGATCCAGCAGATCACTGTCCCAGTTCTAGGGGTTCAGAGGGGATCGCACACAGGGTCCCCTCAGGCCGCCGCAGGGGCAGCTTCTCCTCCTCCTCCCAGGTGACTGTCCTCCTCGGAAGTGGTCATCCTGCCAGGCCCTGCTGCCCCTCCCCCTGAAGCGGTTTCTGTTCCTGGTTATAAAGATGTTATCCACCAGTGCGCTGCTTCCTGGAGCCCACGGGGACTGCAGAGGTGGAAAGACTCCAGGAAGGAGGCCCGGCTTCCCTGCTGTTAGTTAATTTATGGGGCCAAACTAAGGAGTTGATGCTTTTAGCCAAAAACACTTTTGGGGGATTTTGTTCCAGCTCTGAGGTTTGAACTCTGGGCCTCATACTTCCTTAGGCAGGTGCTCTACCACTTAAACTACACCCCTTCGCTTTTTATTGCTTTAGGGTTTTCTTTTTTCCTAACAATATTTCACGTGCTTGAATGAGCCTGGCCTCAGACTACAATCCTCCCATCTACAGCTTCCTGCATAGCTTGGATGACAGGCGTGAACTACCACGCCCAGCTTATTTGTGGAGATGGGAATCTCACAGACTTTTTGCCTGGATGGGCCTGGAACTGTGACCCTCCAGATCTCTATGTTTGGGAGAAGCTAGGGTTATAGGCATGAGCCACCATCCTCAGCCACAAAAGCAGTTTCTTTTTTGTTTGTTTTTGGGTTTGAGATGTGGACCCACGAGGAGCTAAGAGCACTTCACTGTGTTGACGTTTTCAGAACAACTGTTCCAGACTGCTTTGAACTCAATGGGCCTTTAAAAAAAATGTTTTTTCTTCTCTTGTTACTAGAAAGGTGATGTAGAGAGGGGTCACAGTTCACAAAAGCAGCAGTTTCTGGGCGCCTGTAAGAGGGACACGGAGGCTCTGGAAGTGCAGGATCTGTGCTGTGACCTGGCACTCCTGGGCTCTGAAATCCCTGTTCCTCTCTTAGCCCCAGTGCCTCTCTGTCCCCAGAACACGTGGCAGCTGTGCATCTGCAGACTAGAAAGTCTGGCCGGGCTGTGTGTGGAGCTGGCAGTGGGCAGCACTGCCCCCTGGTGGCAGCAGGATGCCTATGTTCTTAGTCTGCAGAAGCCAATTTGGAGCGCGGGGTATGTGTGTGTGAGGTACAAAACAACAACCAAATCCAGGAAGCTTATTTCCAGCGCTTTTTGCAGAACACTGGGTTGGATATAGTGTTTACATTTCCCCCCACTGAATCCCTTTGAAAATTCGTAAGGGAGACGTAATTGTGCTTTTTACACGAGAAAGGTAAGATCTGAGAGGAAGAGGAGGGGACTTGCAGGGATCTCTGGGCTGAGGTGGATGAAGGCCTGGGGGTGGAAGCAGCTTAGAGCTGGGACCACCCAGGGGCAAACTCGGTCTGTGTTCATGTACCTTTGACACTTCTCTGGCACCCTGCTCAGAACCTGACTGGTACCTGGCGCAGGCATCCGTTGCCATGGCAACCTCACAAGCTGGGATGATGGAGTCCCCTCCCTCACAGCCCCCAGGCGCATCACCCCTCGCTCACCTACTGGGGAGGTAACTTCAGCCCTTGGAGCTCCTGTTGGGGAGCAGGGGCGATCGTCTGTGATGCCCGGTTCTCCAGGGGGCTTGACGCTGGCCCTGAGTGATGGGGATGTGCGGAGGAAAGTTAGAATGGATCCTGTGATCTCACAGGGTCCCTGGGAGAAAACACTCCTGTAAGCCCAGCACCATCCTAGCTACTACTCAGGAGGCTGAGATCCCAGGATCACAGTTTGAAGCCAACCGACACAGCAAAGTCCATGAGTTTATTTCCAATTGGCCAGCAAAATGCTGGAGATGGAGCTGTGGCTTTAGTGGTAGGGTATCAACTTTGAGTAGAGAAAGCCAAAAGGAAAGTGCCCGGTGCTGAGTTCAAGCCCCAATACTGGCATACCAAAAGGAAAGTGCCCGGCGGCTCCTTACACACTGGCACCTGTGCCAGACACCTCTGCACTCTACACTTCCCTCCTAGCCGGTTTCTTAGAGTATTTGAACCAACAGCCAGAATGTGCGCCTTTCTCCCAGCTGGTGGGACATTTGCCAAACACCAGAGCCATTTTCACACTGTGATCTCTGCAGGTGGCTTGGGGTGTTGCTGGCTTCGTTGTCTTTCAAAAGGAGTCTGGATCAGGCTGGGAGACCACGGTGGGAGGGAGGGAACGGGCCAGGGTGGTCTGTGGTGACCCCAGGAATTCAGCATGGGTGGGATAGTGGCTCTGCATCGCCCCCTAGGGGTGGGTCGCAGAAGTACAGGAACAAGAAGCACCATTGTGGGTGTTGTTTTTTTGTTTGTTTTTTTTTTGGGTCCAGTCGCGGGGCCTGAACTCTGGGTCTGGGCACTGTCCCTCAGCTCTTCAGCTCAAGGCTAGTGCTCTACCACTTGAGCCACAGCGCCACTTCCGGCTTTTTTCTTTTTGCTTATGTGGTGCTGGGGAATCGAACCCAGGGCCTCAGGCATGCAAGGCAAGCACTCTACCACTGAGCTGCCTTCCCAGCCCCGTGTTGTGTTTTTTTGATGCCAGTACTGGGGCTTAAACTCAGGGCCTCACCTGTCACTTGACTCTTGCTCAAGGCTGGTGCTCTACCACTTGAACCACAGCTTCCACTCCCAGCTTGTTTTTGGTAATTAATTGGACGTAAGAATCTCACAGACTTTTCTTCCTGGGCTGGCTTCGAACCCAAATCCTCAGCTCTACATAGGTAGGACTACAGGTGTGAGCCACCAGTGCCCGGCTTGTTTCTCTAGTTTTAACTTTCCCGAGCGTGTCTTGAGACCGGTTTGCGGTAAGAATAAAGGCGGACACACCAGGCCCTTTCCCAGGCTCCCTTGACCAAATGAGCCCACGGCAGCAGAGAGAAGAGTCCTTGCTCTCCAGGCCTGTGCAGAGGCCGTGGGTACCTTGACCCGATGGAAAAGCCACACCCCGGGCCAGGTGCCCAGGAAGCTGCCCACACAGCCTGCAGCCGGAGCTCCCACCCCAATGGCCATGTTTGGATATTTTCTGTCTGGTAGAGACGGTGGCCACATATGTGAACAATTAGCCGGTTTATTTTCTCAAGAGCATGGGGGGGGTGGGAGGGAAGGGGGAGGAAGTTACATTGACAGCCTGGCAGCCCCAAGGCTGAACCAGGGCCGCCGTGGGAACAGGACCCCGGGCTGGTTCTAAAGTTGGCATTCCTAGGCCCTAACTAAGAAGCTCCCACACGGCGACTCCCATCTCTGCACGACACTGGAGTTCTTCACGGCACCAGCAGGAAGGTCAAATGCAGCAGAAAGGCCTGGGACTTTGCTGGTGAGCCACCCCTCAGCAGGGGCAGCCTGAGCCTGCAGAGGCCTCTGGGACCCCTCAGCAGTGGCTGGTGTCCGCTGCAGCCCCCACCCGCCTCTCGGTGTCTGGGAATGCAGTCACACGTCCTGACGCCTGCCCGCTCCCCACTCCAGGCTTGGGGGGCTCACAGGGGATTCTACTGGAAAACCTACACAGGTCGGGGGGGGGCAGCAGGCCCTCCAGGCTGTCAGTGAGCCAGGCCCAGGGCCCAAGGAGCTCCTAAAGGCTGGTTAGACCCCCGCCCCCCCCCCCAGTCCTAGCCCCATCTCCATTTCTGTCACCACAGCCTGTGAGATTATTTTTATTTTTTTATTTATAATTATTGTTTTGGTGCCAGTCCTGGGGCTGGAACTCAAAGTCTGAGCGCCATCCCTGAGCTTTTATGCTCAAGGCTAGTGCTCTACCACTTGAGCCATAGCTCCACTTCTGGCTTTTTCCGTAATTAACTGGAGATAAGAGTCTCGTGGGCTTCCCTGCCCAGGCTGGCTTCAGACCACAATCCTCAGATCTCAGCCTCCTGAGTCGCTAGGATGACAGGCGTGAGCCACTGGTGCCCAGCTCTCTCTGAGGCTTTTTTTTTTTAAGGTTTTATTTCTTCAAGACAAAAGCTTCGTGGCTTTAACACACAAAGTGAGTGGGGTCCTCGGTGGGCTCCTGTGCCATCTTCCGGTCCAGACCCTCCAGGGGTCAAGGCAACCATCTTGTTGCCTAGATGTCCGGGCCCCACAAGCCTCAGGAGGCTGGGCTGGTGACAAGGGCCAGGAGAGCCTGGACAGCCTGTTCTGGGCACAGGGGCTGGAGCAAGCCACTTCCGGTGCATGTCTCCCTCTTCGCCGTCCTCAGGCTGGGGAGGCAGCGCTGGTGCCGGCAAGCTGGCTGTCAGTTCACCGTGGGCACCTGGCTGTGGTGCAGGCTGAATTCCTTGGCTTTGAGACGCAGGCTGGCGATGCTGCTGGCCATGCTGGCCCCCGGGGCGGCCGGGCCCGAGCCCCCAGGGCTGTAGGGCGGCACAGAGCTGGGGATGAGAGAAACAGAAGGACTATGGCTGCCTGGCTGTCTCTGATGGTCCCATATCCCACCTGAGCCCCCAGCGGGGCTGCGGGGAGGAAGGGGGACGGGATCAGAAGCAACCCGAGTGATGCTGGCTCAAAGGACCCCTCCCTCTTTCTGTGCTGGCACTGAGGCTTGAACTCAGGGCCTCTTGTTCTCCTTTTGCTATTTTGGTCAAGACTGGTGCTCAACCCCTGGAGCCACAGCTCCATTTCTGGCCCTTTGGTGGCTGGCTGGAGATAAAACCGTCATCGATTTCTCTGCCTGTGGGCTGACTTCGTACTGGTCTTCAGATCCTAGGCTCTTGGGTAGCTAGGATTACAGGCAGGAGCTGCCAGCACTGGGCATCCCCTCCCCCCTTTTATTTGCTGGCTTTCCTGGCTGGACTGCGGTCCTCCTGAGAACAGAGCCTGCCGCCCTCCCATGCTCCTAGCCTGCCTGCAGGACGTAGGTGGGATGAACACACCTGTCCAGGTAAGAGCAGGGCTGGGAGATGCTTGCAAGAATGACTGAGTTCTCACAAGCCCACCACACTGCTTCCTGTAGCCCTGGAGGGGGGCGCTGCACCCCTGGGGTTGTGATTTGGGGGCTCCCCCCATCTTCTCTGCATCACCGCCTTCCTTTCTGCCTGGCCACTTGGGTGCCTTCTCAGCTAGAATGTGAGGCTCTCCCCTGGAGGGCGGATGAGGGCCCTGGGAACATCCCCATGGGCGCTGACACCCTCCACCCAGGCCCCGCCCAGCACTGGCCCCGCCCCTGCCCCAGACCACGCCCCTGTAGCCCCGGCCCCTCCCAGCACTGGCCCCAGCCCCGCCCCAGGCCCCGCCCCTGTCCACCCCGGGGAGGGCCTCGCCTCTCTATCGCGCATGCTCCCCGCTCACCTGTAGGGGGACGACGCTGGCCAGGAGAGGTAATCGGGACTCAGGCTGGTGGGCCGGGGCGCCACGGGCTGCTCGATGGCGGCCTCCTGGCTGTAGGATTTGAGCAGCGAGGCAGAGCGGTTGGCCAGCATGGCACGTTCATTCCGGCGGAACTTGGCCCTGCGGTTCTGGAACCAGACCTAGAGCAGCAGGTGTGGTGAGCCGGGCTCAGCCAGACTGGGAAGGGGAGGGGGGGTCCCGGCCCTGCACTAACCCTGGGCCTAAAGCCAGAGAACACTGCTTGTGGAAAGTCTTTGTGCTAGACACTGGGGCATTGCACAAAAATACTGCTGGTGGAACTGAGGATCAAACTCAAGGCCTGGTGTTTGCAAGGTCAGCGTGCTACCAACCTGAGCCATGCCTCCAGCCTGGGTTTTGCGCTGGTCATTTTTGAGGTAAGGTCTTGCTTTTTGCCCAGGGGAGCCTCGATTGTGATTCTATTTGTGCTTCACCACCTAGCTAGAGATAACAGGCATGTGCTGCCTGACCAGCCATGGTTGAGATGGAGTCTTTCAAACTGTTCTGCCCCTGGCTGGTTTTGAAAAATGATTCCTGGTTCTCCAACTCTCAGGTAACTAGGATTACAGACAGGCCTGAGCCATGTGCTCTGACCAGGGCCTCACATCTGTAATCCTAACTACTCAAGAGGCTGAGGAGCAAGGTTCGAAGCCAGCCTGGGCAGGAAAGTCCATGAAACTCTTACCTCCAATGAACCAGTCAAAAGGTGGAAGTGGAAAGAATGTCTCTGTAGTAGAGAACTAACCAGCCTTAAAAGAAAAAGCTAAGGGACAGCACCCAGGCCTTGCATTCAAGTCCTAGTGCTGGCAAAAACCAAAACCAAAAACCTCCCTGTGAAGGACCGGGTGTTTACTGCAGGCAGGAGCCTGAGCACAGAAAGGTAAAGTAACCTGCCCCAGATCACACAGCTAGTTTGTAGCCAGGCTGGGCTTCGAACTTCAGCCCTCCTGCTCTTCACAACTGGGGTGAATGGCGGCGGCCTGGCAGGGCACAGGCTCTCACAGGTGACCCTGGATGGGTGGCGCTCACCTGGACGCGGGCCTCGCTGAGGTTCACGCGCCGGGCCAGCTCCTCACGCACGAAGGCGTCGGGGTAGTGTGTGCGCTCGAACACACGCTCCAGCGCCTGCAGCTGGCTGCTGTTGAACGTTGTGCGGTTCCGCCGCTGCTTCTTCTTCCGTTTGGCCGAGCTGCCGCGGCTGGGGCTGAGACACTCACCTGCGGAGAGGCACAGGGGTCAGTGGGGCGGCCGGCGGCCCTGGTGTCTGCAGGATCACGGTCCACCGCCACTCAGTAGATTCCACCGTGGCTTTCCTGTGTCTTCGGCTGCGGACGCATTTGGAGCCAGACCTGCAACACCCCTATACTCGTCCCCTCCCTCATGGCCTGGTCCACCCCTCCATCCACCCATCCATCTGTCCCTCTGTCCATCCATCTATCCACTTATCCTTCCATCCATTTTTTTTGGGGGGTGGGCTAGTACCAGGGCTTGAACTCAAGGCACTCTACAACCAAAGCCACAGCTCCATGTCTGACTTTTTTGATAGTTAAAGAGTGTCACAGAGTTTCCTGCCTAGGCTGGCTTCAAACAGCAATCTTCTGATCTCAGCCTCCTGAGTATCCAGAGGTGAACCACGGGCACCCACGCACACATCCATCCATGCTTTGAGGCATATACACTGTATTGCTGGTGCCTGGTAAATTCTCTTGAATTGTAACAATCATCACCATGCTGAGCAGTCGTGCTCACAGGTGTCCACTAGATGGCGCTGCCGCCCTCATGTGCAGAGGTGCACACACAAGCTCAGGACACAGGGTTTGGCCCAAGGCCAGGCTCCTGTGCAGTCCCAGGGCAGCGCCACACAGGACAGCCTTTGGCGTGCATGGTGCCCCGGTGCCAGCACCCTGCTGGGGACAGGACAGTCATTTTGAATTCATCAGCAGGCCGAGTCTGATGTTGCAGTGCTTTGGGTTCTGTGTCATGCCAGGGTTTGGCCAGGGCTCAGAGGGACACAGCGCAAGGAGAAGGGGCCCTTTCCCGAGGAGGGCGATTGCGCTGGGGCTGAGCGTCATAGCCAAGAGCCTGAGAGCAGTGGGCAGGGTGACCCCCAGCAGGGAGCCGCCGGGGCTCGGCCTGCGGCCGGTGGTGCAGAGCGCAGGTCTGGGAAGCAGAACCCCACAGAGCCCTGGCAAAGGCATGGTGCCCGCTTTTCCAGGGACATCATCTGGGCCTGCGCTGTCCCTCCCAGGGCACCATGGACACATGAAATGTATCCTGTGACTCACACCTGTAATCTCAGCTACAAGTAAGGCTGAGGTAGGGGCAGGGGGGGGGGATTAAAGTTCAAGGGCAGCTAGGCAGGAAAAGCTTGTGAGACTGCCATCTCTACTGAGATCCCAGTGTGGTAGCACAAGCCTGTGTCCTACCTACTATGGGGAGCCTGAAATAGGTGGATTGTGGTGCAGGCAGGTGCCTGGCTGCCAAGCGAGATCTGATCTCAGAAATATCCAGCACAGAGCCTGACTGGTGTGGCTCTGTCATCCGAGCCACTCAGGAGGCTGAGACCTGAGGATCATGGCTTGAAGCCAGCCCAGCCAGGAAAAGTCCAAGAGACTGTCATCTGCAATTAACCACAAAAAGCTAGAAGTGGAGCTGTGGCTCAAGTGGTAGAGTGCCAGCCTTGGGAAAAAGAATAGGGGTGGTACCCAGGCCTTGGGGTATCACCAAGCCCTATTGCCAGCACACACGCACGCACACACACACACACGCACGCACGCACGCACACACACACACACAGCACAAAAAAGAAGGCAGGAGGTATGGCTCCACAGCGAGTGTGCCTGCCCAGCAAATACAAGACCCTGAGATCAAACTCCAAGTTCAGGGTTAGGAAGGTGGCTCAGTGGTAGAGCACTTGCCTTGCATGTATGAGGCCCTGGGTTTGATTCCTCAGCAGCACATAAACAGAAAAAGTGGTGCTGAGTGCTAGCCTTGAGCTGAAGAGCGAGGGACAGCACTCAGGCCCAGAGCTCAAGCCCCAGGACTGACAAAAACAAACAAAAGAAACTCCAGGGCTGCCTAAATAAATGCCCAGGGGCAAAACTGCAGATATGTCACCCTCCTCGCTGCCTCCACTCTTCATTGGCCCTCCTCTGGGAAGTCTTCCCTGATTCCCCCAATCCCCATGGAACACCCCCTTCCTCATGTACCTGCTTTTCTTACTTAAAAGGCAGAGTGATAAACCTGCATATCATGGCAAAGCACCAAGCCCCACACCCCATGGTTCACCAGATCACAAGTGCAAATCTAAAAGCCTGCCTGGCAGGATTCGTGCCGTGCACGCCGGGGCCTCCACTGGCCTGTTTTCCTTCCCTGATATTCGATTTCCTTCCACCTTGGTTCAGCAATGCATTCTCAGGAATATTTCTCTAAAAGACATCTCCCTCCCTCCCTCCTTGTTCTGTATTTGCTCTTTTCTTTTTTAACTGGTGCCTAGAAGTTGAACTCAGGACCTGATCCTCAGTGGAGTTTCTTGCTCACAGTTGGTTCTCTACCACCTGAACCGTGCCTCCAGCCCAGCATTTTGCTGATTTCTTGGAAATGGAGTCTCATGGATTTGTCTACCCAGGCCAGTTTGGAACCGTGATCCTCCAGATCTCAGGCTCCTGAGCAGCAAAGATGACTGGCATGAGCCATCAGGGCCTAGCTTAGTACTGGCTTTTGTCCCAACAACTTCCGGAACTTCTAGACCACCTCAGGCCCGGCAATGGGTACTGCTCGATTGCTTTTGCTTATTTATTTTAAGATGCTGAGGATGGAACTCGAGCCCCTCACTCATATGAGGGCTGCACCCAGCCACGGAGCTACAGTCCCAGCCCAGAGTCAGGGAGGGGGTGCTATGGTTTCACGGTAGAGGTCGGGGTGCTGCTAATGATCCTCCAACACGCAGGGCAGGCCCCTATCACAGGTTATATGCTCCAGAATAACAGCAGGGAGGCGGGAGGACCAAGGCCGGCACCCCTGGTTTAGTGTGGTGAGCCTTTGGGAAATTCTTGCAAACGCGGCAGCGGCAGGAGGGCTGGGCAGGGAGGGCTGGGCAGGGCTCGCGGGGCCTGCAGGGTGGACCTTCCCCCCGGGCAGTGCGAGGTGGATGAGCATGAAGTGAAGATGCAGGCTGGAGGCTGGAAGATTGAGGCTGGAGCCCCGTGTCCCTCCCCAGCACAGAAGAAACCAGTGCTGGGCACCAAAAACTGGGGGCTGCAGGGGGGGTGGGGGGATCAAGAGCCAGAAAGCAGAGATGGAAGCTTCTAGAAGTCCAGCCACTCTCCAGACCTGCCCTCCTTCAGGCAGTGCTGCTTGGGCACACGCCCAATGCAGTAGGCATTTCAGCCAAAAAAGGAGAGTTTTTCGGGAAGTTTCTGAGCAATTCCAAACCCTGGGGTGTTGAAAGCCATTTTGCACTCTCCCCCCCCCGCCCCCACCCTGAACTCCAACATGGAATGGTGCTCACAGACACTCCCTGGCTTCCAGAGGAAGATGCTATGTCAGCGTTGTGTGCACGTTCACGTGCATGTGCACACGCACCAGTCCTGGGGCTTGAACTCAGGGCCTGGGTGCTGTCCTTGAGCTCTTTTGGCCTGCTCTGTCCAAGCAAGCCTGAGCCTCAAAGTCTCTTTTTTGTTCAATAAAGGCTCCTCCTTTCTTGGAGATTAAAAACAAAGTCCAGGGCTGGGAAGGTGGCTTAGTGGTCAAGTGGTTGCCCGCATGCATGAAGCCCTGGGTTCCATTCCTTAGTACCACATACACAGAAAAAGCCAGAAGTGGCGCTGTGGCTCAAATAGTAGAGTGCTAACCTTGAGCCAGAGAAGCTCAGGGACAGTGCCCAGGCCCTGAATTTGAGCCCCAGGACTGGCAAACAACAACAACAAACAAAAAACAACAACCAAAGTCCAATGCTGGGCATTGGTGGCTCATGCCTGTAATGCCAGCTACTCAGGAGGCTGAGATCAGAGGATCATAGTTGGAGGCCAGCCCAGGCAGGAAAGTCTGTGGGATTCTTATCTCTAATGAATCTGTAAAAAGCTGGATGTGGCTGAAGTGGTAGGGTGCCAGCCTTGAGTAAAAAAACCCACGTGACAGTATGAGGTCCTGAGTTCAAGCCCCACCAGCACTACCAACAAGGAAGAGTGTGAAACCTCTTCTATTTGAACCAGACATTGAGACCCCAGGAGACCTGGGAGGAAGGGGATTCATTGAGAGGGAAGACGCTTGCTGCCGGCACTCTCTCCCGTACACCCCCAAGACACCAGCCCCAATTTCATCCTCCTGTCAAAACGGCCAGTGTATAATTTTCTGCCATGAAATTATTTCACACTCACCATTTATTTGGCCAACTGCAAGCTAAAGACATTTAAAAGCTCTGTTCTAGGACAAATGATCAAGAGTCCCCCTCACACACCCCCACCCCTGGTTTCTCTTATTTCGAGTAATTAAGGGTCTAAATAGTCTGGAGGGAATTAACTGTAAATTCTTCTGAAGACAAATAAACTCAGCCTCTTCCAGCCCGTCTTTCTCAAGCTGTGGAGAAACGCTGTTTGTTTTTGCTTCAAATAGAGTCAGTTTGCTCCTGACCCCAGGGGCCGGGGCCAGATCCAACCCAAATAAATAGCTTTTATTAATTAGCATTAATTCTAACCAAATAAGCAGTCTCTTCCCCCCCACCCCCGCCTCCCAGGTGCAGTTGATCGAGGCCAACCCCTGCTCCCTGGGACCCGGCTGAGGATTTCACAAATTAACACTGGGCTTTGTCAGAGGCTGCAGAAGTATTTATGGCTGGGGACACGGCTGGAAGGCAGGACTGGGCAGGCGCAGGCAGTGCGGCCTGGTCCTGGGCATGCAGGGTTGGCCTCTTGAGTCAGTCACTAGCACAGTGGCATGGAGCACGCGTGCGCACACAGGGTTCTGGGTCACCTCCCCCAGAAAGTCCTCCCCCCCCCACTCAAACTCCCAGAGTCCTGTATGCTCCAGGTTAGAGCTCTGACCCATAGCAGGGCAAGCGTGGCCAGGCCCTGCAGTGGCTGGAACGGTTTTTCTGTCTCCTTGGCACAGGTAAACCAAACCATCAAATGAATGAATGAATGAGGACTCGGGTGTCTGCCCTGCTGTCCAGAGCAAGTTCCTCCTTGTGATGGGTGGGGTGGGGAGGGGGCTGGCCACG